ACATTTGAGGTTTTGAGTTAAATGTCTTGACAGCTACTGAATAAAGCCATGACATTTGGTAGAGATGTTCATGTTCCCCTTAGGAAGAATTGAAATAACTTTTTATCTAATGCCAGGATTGCCAGGAATCACCTGACATACTAATAACTTCCCCATGAGCCTCAGCTATATGTGTGCAAATGTAAGCATGCTAACACACTACACTAAGATCAAATACAGTATGCCAGTGCACATATTTCAGTAAGGTTAGATATAACAGCTGATATGTGGAAGAGTCTGGTGTACTTCTGCACTGTGAGCAGATGAACATGACATCTGATAAAGACCAGGGACAGGATATTGGTCTGTGAGCCAATAACAGGTGATTGTTTGAGAATAAGCACAAATATGTTTTAAGGCACAATGTAGTGCCAGAGAAAGACCTGATGTTATTGGGGAGGCTGTGGCTCAGTGGATAGTGTGCTGGACTTCGAATCAGGAGATAGCAAGTTTGAGTCCCACTGCAGTCAGCATGTCGTTGTGTCCCTGGGCAAGACACTTCATCCCAAATTGCTCCTGTGGGGATTGTCCACAGTACTGAATGTATGTAAGTCGCTTTGGATAAAAGCGTCTAACAAATGACATGTAATGTTCTCTCCAAAAAACAAACAAATAAGGCTGCCGGCATTCATTAAATGTATCTCTTCATAGTTGGATGAGACATAGAGAATGTCTCCATATATGACCATGTCAACGAAATGCTCTTTGAAAAAAACAAAACACAAATCATATAGATATGATTTCTTTTTTAAAGCAGTAGTACTGTAAATTCAAAAGAGTTAAAACGAGTTAAATAGAAGGTTCATCTGCTTTTGTGAAACATCGTCTTTTTCCCCGATATGGTTTAGCCACAAGGAGAAAAACATAATAGCTTGAATCCTGAGCAATAGGTTAATAAATGTCTGTTGAGAATATACATTTTCTCTGCAACATTTGATGAAAAAGGATAATAACAGCTTTGTATGTCCCTGTAGCTTTGTGAGAGAAACTATGTCACAAAAAAGGAACCCTCCTTGTAACTCATTTGAAATGGGTTAATGGCATATCCCTTTGTTTCGATGAAAGTAGAGGAGACCTAGCATTTCTTTATATTACTTACTTACGGTAACCCAAAATGGTTAGTTTAGCATTTCCAAGCATGCCAGAACATCTATGTAAATATGTCCGTGCAATGGCTTGCATGCGTTCGAGAGTGAACTGCAGCTATGTGTGTGTTTGAGTTGATAGGATCATTAAGCCGTAAAAAAAAGAAAAAAAGAACATGCTTCAATCGTTCAAAACATGTAATGGAAGAAATGTTTCTCACATGATGACAGGACTGTGAGCAGGGTACCAAGGTCTCATGACTCTCTGAAATTACTTAGCGTAATTCACCTCATATGTCAGATGAGGCTGGAGATGATAATTGAAGGTGACCTCAATTTAAGAACACTGTAGTTTGCAGGCCATTGATTCTTGTAAAGAGGGAACATATTTCAGTGTCTCTTCCAAAAGATTCAGAACATGTACTCGTTTGAGAGAGAAAAGAGAGCATGTGTGAGATAGTAAGAGTGTTATTATTGTGACTTTTCTCTAACTTGTGCAGCCATTTCTATCTCCGGTATGGGATCTAAAAGGATTAGGTCATCTATCTGTGTGCTACTGTAGCTGTCTCTCTAACTCTCCTCTCTGTTTCATGTTACCTTTATCTCCTTCACCCTTCCCTTAATCTAGAACCATATCTATCTTTCTCCATTCACTCATCTCCTACCCCTCCCTATCCTCCTTTTGCTACCTGCTTAGCCACAACCCGTTTTATTGTGCTGCTTCTAAAGCATACATCAGATTTTTCTCTCTCTGATGTCATTTAAGATTTTGCAGATATCTAACAAAGCAATTACACATGGCAGACTTGTCGCCGAAATATAAGAGAGCAGTGGAGCCTTGCATGCCTGTGGAAATATAGTCTCCAATGTATAGCCACTGAAGGTAATGGAGCAGAAAACCAATTCTGCCACAGTGTCACATTAACAATTATGACAATCTGATGTGTCTGCTATTATCATTATCTCAAGAGGACTATATGCATATGTGAGAAATATGATAGGGATTTATCTCACGACAGTAAGTATTAACAATTGAGAAACGGGGGAATGGGGCGATTTAAAAATAGCAGGCAGGTTAAGGGAGGGAATAAAATAAAATAAAAGGTAAAGAGGAAAGTGAGTAGAGGAGAATGAGATACGCCTTCAGAAAAATGAAGTTAATTAAGGTTAACAAGGACAATAGGAAATGCTGGGTTGTATGTCCGTCATTATGCAGACACACAGCAGAGATGAAAGACTGAAAGAGGCACAGAACATTGAGGGAGGATTGGAACACAAATATCAGGATAAGTGTATTCCCAACAGAATGTAAAGTTAATACTATAATTAAGAGAGTATGCATATACTGGTAATGGCGTGATCAGTGAGACACACTCACTTTATATTTAAATATACAGCCGACACAATGTAGTTAGGCTCCTCGGGGCTGCTGTCAATAATTCAGAATCTTTATTGCAGGCACAAAATGACTCTCCTATATAAAATACATGGGGTTGCAGCCATTATCTATATTTTGTATGGATACGTCAGTGTCTTGAAAGCAGTTGAGTACAAGAAAAATACATTTTACTTAATAAAGCATGGAAGTAAATGGACATGGCGTGGGCAGAGTAAGAGAGAAAGAGAGAGAGAGAGAGAGAGAGAGAGAGAGAGAGAGAGAGAGAGAGAGAGAGAGAGAGAGAGAGAGAGATGGAGTGAGAGTGAAATAAATGATCTATAATTTATTCAAAAATAAATGTGAAACATATTTCTTGTAGGGAAGGTCATTGTCAGTGTCCCCAACTGTTAAGACAAAATATTACCACAGGGTAAAGGCTAAATAATAGAACGAACGATGCTCCAAGGAAGGTTTGCAAATGCTAAGGAGATTAGTCTCTTAACATGTGACCGTGGGGAATGTTAATACTAACATTACAATGTTGCAACACTGAACATAACACTTCAATTAAGTTATGGCTGCTGATGGTTGCTTAATGTTGCTAACAGGGAATGCAAGATGATTCACAAAGTATCAGGTAATCTAATATGTGTTTCTGTGAAACACCAAGCCAACAAATATGTTATGATATATTCATTATGTTGGCAGATGCGTACAGTAATGTTTTTATCGGGTCAGTTTACACAGTTTTCGTCGTGATTTGTGCTTTTTTTTCTTTTAAATGGCTGACACAGAAAGCTGCTTTGAGCATATCCGTCACTCAAAGGTCAATGTTAAACAAATATTTCCAATTCAAGTTGGATTTATACCTCAAGTCACTTATTTTTTTCTATTATCATAATGTAAACCTATTCGAGAAGGTATTTTAAGAGGAAGCACCACAACCATAATGGAGCTATCGTGTAATGAACCTGAGAATTAAGTATTATCACTCATGCCATCATCATATAAGGGAAGATGTTAACCTTGGGTGAGAGAGAGTTGCTTTTAATAATAATCAATTTACATTGAGGTCATTGTTCACATTTAACCTGTCTCTGTCTCTCCATGCAGAATAGAAGAAATCATTTTAATAGAGAGGCAGTTATTGTGAGAGACACATGTGAACATAACACGATGGAATGCTTGAACGACATGAGAACACCCCCACTACCTTTGGGTTTTAATTTCCTTTTATCTTTTCCCTTTACATCATAACATACAGCAGGTCATGAGGGGCTTTTTCGCTGGCTTTTCTTCATGGTCGTGGGGGGTCAGATTTCCACCTTCAATTTATCTGCTCTGTATTAACACCACTTTAGAGTGCTACATCACTCAAAAAAGCACAATTCAGCTACAAGAGGAATATTAGCCTCTGCCAAGTCATTTAATTCCATGTATTAGTTTAATTCAATCCCAATGACAGACCAACACATGTTCAGAGTATTAAGGGACTGTGGCAGGAATACTGTATAACACGTGCCTTAATTCGCTCAGAAGTAATTATGCTCTCTGATTAGGAAATTGTCCCTAAATGTAATTATATGCTGTGCTTTAAAGATTACATTTGTCTGTGATGGCATGCTGCATTATGTTGCTGTCTCACCACATTATTCATAATCACAGCTCACTATCTTAACTGTTATCTGCAAAGAGACCCCTCTGGTGTAGAGGACACACACTATATGGTGTGTTTTTGTGTGTATGTCTATCTCTGTGTCCAATGGAATCTTATGGGATTAAACATTGCAAGTCTCGGTCACATATTTGTACCCAACTGTTTTCACACCTATATGCATAATCCACTAACACTGATTAGTCAGTGATGTCAGCATGGACTCTCTGATCCTAATGCATCAGTGCATGTTAAGACAACTAAAGCTGTAAGAGTATACTTTCTCAAAACATAAATTGACATATTTCAAGGAAGTATGCTTATCCAAGCATAAATTGCGTAACATACAACAGGAGTATGTTGTGATCTGACATGCTGAACCAAACAATACAATCATAAAACTTAGCAGTCACTGAACACACACACACACACACACACACACACACACACACACACACACACACACACACACACACACACACACACACACACACACACACACACACATACCAAACCAAACTAGTGAAAACAAAGTGTGACATGGAATTTAAAGATATAAGACACTTTTGAAATACAAAATATATAAAAGGCTGCACAACAAATCTAAAATCAACCATTAGTAAACAAAGAACGGTGGCAGAGCTGTACTCTGTTGCAAAGGAGTGACAGCCTTGGGAAACGGATGCCTGAATGAATATTAGACGGAAATTAATGTGCAGGTGAGAGCAGGTGCAGTGAAATTCCCTGGCAAATCCCAAAAAGTATGTAAATCCACTCCCGAAATGAGTCCCCCTTCACCCACAGTAATACACCAAACACAAGGGGTTTTGCTTTAACTACTTACCCGAGTGACTCCTCGTCCCCTGTCTTCTCCATAATTTGTTCCCAGGATTTCAAAGAAGATGTTGGGGTTTGAGCCATTGTCATCGAACTCCAGGAAACTGGTGAGGCCGCTCACTCCATTCTGCAAACACAAGATAAAAGGTGTTTTTTTGACTGTTGATTTATTTTACAATTCCTGTTACATGGCAACATTGTTATGGTATTGCAATCATCACTGTTGTTATTCTTGTTTGAGCTTTAATCTTGTCGGTATTATTTGACCTCATCAATATTTCTGGCTGAAAGGTTTGACATTAAATTAAGTTTTAAAGATCAGATATATTAAGTGCTCTCAATAAAGCAGATACATGAATCATCTGTCTGACCCCTAGACTTATTATATCTCCTCATTAAGAACAGCTACTGAATTTATACAAAGTTTTTGTAGGAATAGTATATGTGTTCATGCATACGATCTATGTGGCCAAGAGAGGAAACTTTAAAGAACTATGTTTTGCCGCTTGTGGAAAATCTTACTTTAAATGTATGGCAAAAAATGTAGCAATAAACTGCACGCACATGTGTGTGCAATAACGCTAATGAGAGAGCAACGGGTCTGAACTTTGCACTAGCGGCGTACAATGTACTCTTTTGAAAGGTAAATTCACTCACACGCATATCCGAAAACACACACACACACAAACACACACACACACACAAACACACACACACACAAACACAAACGGTGTCAGTTCCTAGCCTTTGCCCTGCCTCCCGGTAGTGTGACCTGTCAGTGAAAGTGACACTGTTCCTGCTTTAGGGGAGGAGAAGTGTTAGACATCATCATATGAATCATGCTCTGTGTATGTGTGAGTGCTTGCTCCAGTGTGTATGAAGCATGGATTGTACCATTTGTGTGGGATGGTTTGGGCTGTGATGTAAGCATGCACAAATAAATATACACATGCATCTTATTTTGCATCATCATATAAAAACTTGCACAGACACCCTGTGAATAAGGTGATAACACATACATATAGGATTTAAACCTGTATCTTAGCCTCATTTGTAACGCTTTCAAAACATTATATCTATTCAAATATTTACGGTCTGCACACATAAATGTGGATTTTTTTGGGTACAATTGTCACAAGTGAGAATACACAATTACGACATAATTAAAAGAGCAACCTTTATTTACATAAAATGATTAATGCAGAGAAAATATGGGGGAGGGTTGGATCCCATTTTATGTAGTATGTCCATTGTGAACATAGAGATACATACAACACAGTATGTTGTTACCATATTTTATTATTTTATTCCCAGAGGTCGGTCAAACACACACACACACACACACACACACACACACACACACACACACACACACACACACACACACACACACACACACACACACACACACACACACACACACACAGACTTAATAAAGTACATGTTTATTTGCTTCATGAAATCTGCTTGGATACTGTTCACTGCCTTTCATAATTATTCAGTAAATTAATGTTGGCAGCTCAGTATTGGAGTAATACATTTATGACAATGAGTTTTTTTTTAATTGCCCCTGATACAAGAAACATGCCAATAGAATCATGAGACTGGAAAATAAATCTGACAAATAAATAAGAAGGAATAATTTAAATATGTTTAATGAACGTGGACAAGTCAGTTTTATAAAAATAGCAATAATAAAATAAGCGTTAAGCTTGAACTCTGAATGAACCTCAGCGGCTCTTTAGAACTTAATGTGCATTACAATGTATGAATACAATTGGAAAATGAATATGCTTGAGCCACTGAGACCCAAGGGGGTATACAAAGCATCTGAATGGTTAGGGACATTCTGTCTACAAACAGTTCAAGCACATACACAGCATACACTTCTGACTTTAAGGATGATTGTAACAGCTGTTTTAAAGCTGCATTTTCCACTATGAATTTGTCAATGAAAACCAAACAACAACATAAATAGATCTCCTCATCAACATGCACAAATTAGTGTTTTATTATCATAATGGCCCCACATACCAAAACGTTGATTAATCACACAGGCATGCAGAGCAAGTAAAGCACACTACTGATACAGTGTAAAATGGAACTGATGGCAGTCTGCTGAACTCCACTCTATTACTGCTCAGGGCTCTTTAGCTCAGCTCTGTGGAGACAGACATTAGGGTTGGTTTAACAGCCAGGGCTGGCTGATGAAAGTGTTGCCAAATTAGAGTCTGATCTCAAGGTGAAATGCAGAGATAGATCTGAAAGCCATTGCACATCATTTGTTATTGTCTGACACTAATACAAAATTAGCATTTCACTTGGCTTCATTATTCAGTCAAAGTACTATCCCTGGAGTCGTTTTTTTTATTGATATCAAAACAGAGGGCATTGATCCAATTGGATTTAACAGTGATGAAAGTGTTGCCGAACCCCAGACTGAACTCAAGGTGAAACGCAGAGATTCAAAATTACAGCTGCAGGATGAAATCCTCTATCTCCCAAAAGTCAACTGTTCAGGAACTTGCTGATTGATGCATGTGTTTTTTTAAGGTATGCCATCCTTTGAATTTATGAGCACTGGGGTCATAAAGTCTATTAAAAGCAGAAAGCAACTTAGAAACTTTCAATCTAATTAATGAACACAAATTGGATTTCCATTTGATAAGAACATTACAAACAAATGCTTATTTAAAGCCTCCTCCATGTCATTCTCCCTCCTTGGAGAGGACTTTATTTATACCGAGGGATGACATTGCTATTTCAACTAGAGTGTCTCAGCCGAGGAACAATAATGCGTGGTTTCCAAAGTTTCATGTAATGAGCACAATGTCTTGAAATGCTAATATATGCTCCTAAACGAGAAATGCGAGAAAATGTGTTTCTCTCCTACAGCTGAAAGATAAACCTGAGACACATCCAAAAATTGTGAAAAACCTAAACTGAACTTGCATGTAGTTATTTTAGGGAATAGGCAAATGCTTTTGCTATTTTCCCTGTATTAATCAAGTCGCAGTTTAATTTGTGCCTGATAAATTGGGAATGAGTCTAAGTATAACTTGTTTTTTAATTATTTTTTAAATAAAGTATTAATGAGCCATTTTGAAATTGGCTTGCACTGACCTACAAGCCTAACACAGCGGCAGAGAACCACAGGAGGCCGATGAAACAGATGGACGGCACATGAACTGAGGTGAGAGTCAGGTTACCATGGGTCTCAAAACAAATATAAATCAGCGAATGGGGAGCATTTCACTTGTTGCATTACATTATAGTATAAATCAGATTGTATTGATCTCTTTTACTGTTATTTAGTTTTAAAAGACTCATTGTTGCAAACTTCTGTATACAATATTGATTGTATCCTGGATCAGCAATGTCTAAGTCTGAATATTCTTTTGTGAACCCAAAATATATTTATGAGCACAATATATAAACCATGGATATGAATTATACTGTTGGTAAAATGTTAAATATTATAACTTTAAGTTTTGAGTACATTTTTCAATAACCATTTGTTTGGGAAACAGTGATATTGTTTTGTATTTCATAGATGCTCACTCCATGACTGTATCTGTGTTCATGGAGATGATCTGGACAAAATGTTTAGCACAACTTTTAACTTTGCAGAATGTTTTTATTTCAGTATCATAGGGCCTAGAATGTGTGTCACCATATGTGTCCATGCATCCAGAAATCAGCTGTGTGTGTATGTGTTTTTGTAGGGGCTGTGTGTGTGTGTGTGTGTGTGTGTGTGTGTGTGTGTGTGTGTGTGTGTGTGTGTGTGTGTGTGTGTGTGTGTGTGTGTGTGTGTGTGTGTGTGTGTGTGTGTGTGTGTGCCATAGCGACAAAGAATGCATGCTTGCACACTTTCTGTGGTTGAGTTCCTTTCTTCAATACGTGAGGGGAACAGTGTGTGCGCTCTCATACCTTTTTGATGGTATCCAGCATGCTCTTGCCACCCTGCCAAGGTTTGGTGTTCTTCCTGATGCAGCTCAGACTGGCCATGCTGTGCCACTTCCTGTCCTCCAGCTTTCTGTGGAAGGTGTTGGCCAGCAGCAACACACTATCATAAATATAGCGGTTGGTGATCTATTGAAAAATAAATGACAGAGATATAAAAAAATGTAAAATTGTGACAGAATAAATGCAGACATTTTGCTTCCACGTTTAGTATTTCAATTTGGTTTTCACACTAATGTTCCCATTCATTCCTGAACAGGTTTAAAAACACAATAACTTCAAAGGCAGATGTTACATTAGATAGTTGTTATAAACCAACAACTACATTTAGTGAGGTGGTTTTGCATGTACATAAGTAATAATGCAACCAAATGTAATACATATGGCTTTTATGATTTAGGACTATCCTGCTTCTTAAGAATTAAAAACCTTTGGGAAATATTTTAAACAGCTGGTGTGCAAACTCAAACATTGAATTTTATTCCAGGCTATTAGATACATTCAGTACACGTAGAGTACACTATGTCTGAGCGGTCTCTGGCTTGTTCAGTCTATCAATCTCCTTCCAGCATGCTTTTCTGAAATGCATGGAAACCAAGTGGGAACGTGGCAATGTCAAGTTACACTTAAAACATTTATATAAGAGATGATAAGATGACAAAATAGTCCTTGTTAAATGTAAAATAGTTTTCTGACAGACAGGACGAAAGGGAAACTATAGTGTCAAGTTTATCTCACATCAAACTTTTTTCGCACTTTCTTTAGAAGTCGCCTTGCTCTCACAGTTTTGTCGTAGTGTTTCACTTGCTGTCTTTGTCCGTCTATCATTCCATCTCACTGTCTCCGAAAATTAAAGTGAAAATCTGCTGCACTGTTGGGAGCTTCAATGATCAGTGGGCTCTGCACTCAGTATGTGTATGTGTGTGTGTGTGTGTGTGTGTGTGTGTGTGTGTGTGTGTGTGTGTGTGTGTGTGCGTGTGTGTGTGTGTGTGTGTGTGTGTGTGTGTGTGTGTGTGTATGTGTGTGTGTATGTGTGTGTGTGTGTGTGTGTGTGTGTGTGTGTGTGTGTGTGTGTGTGTGTGTGTGTGTGTGTGTGTGTGTGTGTGTGTGTGTGTGTGGTCAGCCTCAGTTGATGTGCTTCAGTGCAGTGTGAAATTGGTCTTCTGAGCTATTCTCTGACTGCTGAGCTGATCTGCTTCCTCTGCCTCTCTCTCTCTCTCTCTCTCTCTCTCTCTCTCTCTATTTGTCTGTCTTTCTCTCCCATACCTTTTTCAAATGTTACCACTCACATATCCACCACCTACACAATCATTCACTTACTCACTCACTCTCCCACACACACCCACACACCGGATGTCCAACAGAACATGTGTACAGGGATGTTTTCCGCTCTCACTTTTCAAAAACACATTGTCCTTGACTGAAATGAGTTCCACTCAAATGCACACACATACGTAGTCACGTGCACACCCTCAGCCCTCCACAGTAGAATGAGCACATAGGACTAGACTCCACACAACAGATAATGATTGCGTTGAATGGGCTTGGATCCTCGAAGCTAGCTTTTTACACTTGAGAAGCACCTGATTCATATTAGACACACAAGGCAAGCTTTATCTACGTGTATTATTTACTGCTTCAGGGCTTTCAGGAGTTACCAATGTCTGTATTTTGCATACTGTGTCGTAAGGATACAACCAAATGTAGGGTTTTATCAGGATAATAAAAAAATACATTTAGGAATGAAGGTAGTATTTAATCTTTGTGGTATATTATTCATCTTGTCCTATGTTATTAATAATTTTAAAAAAGGTCCATTCATTGATAACAGTGGTTGTAAGCACAGCATGGTTTCATCTTAGGACTAAAAAAGGGAGATAACGTATTAAGACCACGTTTCTGTTTGAATGTATTTCCAACTTTCATCAAATGTGTTCCCCCAGGGTCTGATGCATCCACATAAATCAACAGCACATTAATTCAATTTTCAGTTTTTGTCTTGACATATAAACAAGAGTGTGTTCCCTTTTCTCTGCTGTATTTGATGGAAGCCTGATGACTCACATACACACAAAAGTGTAGTAATTGCATACATATTGCCACCCTGGGGACACGTAAGAAAAGTAAAGAAAATGTGAAAGTGGAGGAAAAACTGTCACTGTGTTTTCCTTGAGCATGCTGTCAGTTAAATTGTGTGGTTTCAGAAATAACACGTATAGGGGGGAGAAAGCTATTTCCCAAATGATTAACGTTCCAGGTACAAAACCTTAAAGGCACGAGCTGTAACAATGTCAAATCAGCAACCCTGGTTCAATGGGAAGCTTTGGATTGGGAGACATGTTGAAATGTCAAACTCAAAACACCTGGAGCAGTTTTATGATACAAAATGGAAGAACCAGATCAGCTTCTGAATACATTAATACATTTAAAGAGAGCCATGTATAACCAAACATAAAAGATGAAATCAAAGGTTTTGTGAATGTACAGCATGTAACTCAGAGACACATGGGTACCACTCAAGTTAAGCATTTAATGTTTGTATCTGATTGTTGTGACAACCATTTTTGCTCTGTCCGACATTCACATTATTTGTTTGGCTGCTTTTTAAGGAGGGCATGGTAGAGGGTTGTCAGTAAACTGGCAACACAGTGTGCCAGTGCTTTTTTTTTTTTTTAAACCTTGAGGAAGTTCAATAGCTGGTTCGCACCTCCCATTTGGTTATTGGTGGATGTTCTGGTCTCTGATGCTGCACCATACAATATTGCACTGACAAACTTTTCCACCCATAACACCATCTAAACTGCTGGTATTTGAAGTCAAGTTCAATTTTAGTCTTTCAATTAAACAATTATTTGGTAATGTGTGAATCTCTCTCTTCTGTCATGTACAGTTTTGGGATGCATACTCAACATCAATTTAGCTTGAGTACAGAATTGGAACAAGAAAACAAAAATACAAATCTTTGAGAAGAAAAGCTGAGGAAACGATATGTCTTTGTCAGTGATATCACCACAAATCAAGCTCTAGTTATTTGATCTTAAATCTTTCACACTGATGACGTATATCAGTTCATTTTTATTGGGGGAAAATATGCCCAATAATGTTGTGAACAATCAATTGACTGTATTCCCAATGTACACCTCTCTCCGCTTTAAATAAAATAAATGACTGAATCTAATTTCAGGTTCTCTTTGATAATGGCGATTTAGACAAAGATACATCTCTTTTTCTTGTGCAGCTTTTCAGCTTTCTGTATTAACCTTCATATTTAACCTTTTAGCCTTAAATACAAATCACCAAACTAACTTACCTCCAGCTGATGAGACCTGGGGTTTTTAGGGTCACACAGGGAATTGTTAATCCTGTGGTTGTGTTTAACACAGCGCTGACTCGCGTTCTGGGGCATGGGGAATGTCTGCCGCACCAACGTCAGCCGACCGATCGACTTCATGACTAACTCCTGCAGATCGTAGTCTGAGATCTCCTAAGAGGGTGAAGAGGAGAAGGATGGTGGTATAGATAGGAAGAGGAATGGTCAGGTTAAGGAAAAGAAGAAAGTGGGGAAAGCAATGGAGATAAGAGAAAATCAATATCAACAGCTGCACCACCACAGTATTCATTGTTGCCCAAGACTTATAGCTTACATTTTGACAAGAAAAATACAATAACAACACCAAAGTCTTGGTTGGAATCCAATAAAGTCAATTTGAAATGTAATGCTTCTACAGTTACTTATCGTCAAACTATATTTCTAAGTTATTTAGGTCTTTCTTTACATGCTCTACTTCTCCCAAAATCACCAAACTGAGCGGTTAAAAAAACATTGTCAACGTCATCTGCAAAGAAAGCTAATATATTACAAAGGTACATTTCAGTAGATGGAAGTAGGGAGAGAGGGGAATAAAGTGTCTGTTTGTGTGTGCTTCTGCTCATACATGTGTGTTTGCACGTACACTGCATGTCCTTGTAAAACCTTGGGGGAGGAATCATTGCTAATTTTAACCCTCGGACACAATCTCTCTCCCTCTCTTCAGTCATGGATCTCCATCCATCCACTGCAAGTGCACAAGGTCATGTGGTGATGAGATGAGAACTGACGGTAAACGTCCCTGGTGGAGGTAACACTGCCACCAACCGAGACTGCCTTTGCTGTCTTTGTGTGCAGTAATTATCTGTGTTTGTGCGAATTGTGTGCACAAGCCAGTTTATGTTGAAATATGTGTGATGTCTGCATATGTTTTTGGAGATTGTTTTCAAGCCTTTCGATCATGCGAAACACTTGATTCCGTTTCATTTGCACATGGCAGCCTCTCTTGACAGGATATATGAAACCCTGCCTGCAGACCGTGCACAAACATAAATAAGCCATCACATACACATTATAGTAGTGAGTGGTAATATTATAGGTACCACTGGTTCATTGACTAATTTCAATGGATTACATTTGAATGTAATTAATGTTCATCAAGGGTGGTGAGTCCTCATGGGATGTGATCAAAGGTGATTAGAGGTAATATTATACAGGCTTCATTGGTATAGCTGTACTCATCTGCAGCAATTAGGCTGATAAATGGCGCTCGCTATATAAGCACAAATATGCATTTGCTTAGGCAATCAAATGTATGTTGTTTTGAATATCTGAAATAAGGTAAGTCCGATTTAAGACTCACATTTGCCGTTCATATTTAATGTCAAAGATTGTAGCATTTCAATTTTTTATTTTTTATTTAAAATGTTTTGATAAACAGAAGAAAGTGTTATTTGTGCCTTGGTGAATATGTGAGGTATGAATGCCATGTGTTCTGAAATATCTACTTTCTTAACCGCAAGCAAAGAGGTGATTGTTCAGCTTTAGGGGGTAAAACGTGGCAGAAATCCCAAACAGTTGCTTACATGAAAACCCCTGAATGGAACAGAATAAAAAAGCCAACAAAGACGGAGCAGGACAGATAGAAAATGCAGAACATTTCTAAAAAGGCAGATCTGTTGGCCAAAAGAGAATCAAGATTCACAGCGGGCAGTCAAGAGCATGCAAAGAAATGTCGGCATGCAAGAATTATCCAGAGCGCACCACTCAAAGGATCAAACTCAAACAAATATAGATGGAACGATTGACAGGAATACAAAACCATACACACACATTGAAACACAGCTAAAATGTAAAAGGAAACTGTCATTTTGAGATTTGTCCTCTCAACAGGCGTTTGTCCATCTTTCTTGTTTGCCACGTTCCATTTGCCTCTTCGTCTCGTTCTCTCTGGGGACAAACTTAAAAGACTACCCCCAGTGAGACTTTCAGTGGTGGCATTCCCTATATGCTGTTTTAATGGCTAAGACTAACTTAATGTGACATATATACACACATATTTTGATAGGACTGCACATATGGAATCACACGAGCTCTCACGCTCACAGCACATCTACACATGCAGGGGTCCTGGGAGGAATAAGGTACCAGTGCACAATTGACATTAGCCGCATTCACACCGGAGTACTTTTCCCCGTACTTTTCGCGTTTAGTTCCGTAACTTATGGCAACACAAAAGAAAACATGGAAGCGGTGGAGATGAGGAGGTGTCGGCGTTCTGGCGATTTACTCGGAAGGCTTTAGTAGAAGCTGCTGGGAGTCCCAGCAGCTTCTACTGAAGCCAGTCCCCAACTCCGGGGACTTCCGGCCGGGGACTTCGGGTGGCAGTATACACCATGAAGTGGTTTGCGGCCTGCCAGTAAACCCAAAGCAGAAGAAGACGAAGTGACGTCAGCGGCTCATTTGCATAATCTTCCCTCAGGGAACTTATTCCGGTGTGAATGCGATCTGTACTAAGTGCCCTGGGGTAATAAGTGCCGGGGCACTGAGTGCCGGCACTAAGTACGGCAAAGTACTTTGGCTATTGACCAAACATTATAAAACTGGTGCAACTTTTCTTTCGTTCTCCATAATAGACATGCATAACATGTACGTACACTCTCTGGTATAATTGTATTTAGTGTAATCTGGTTCTGCAAAATTAAACCCAAACCGAGTTACTTCATATGACATTTGAAACAAGCAAGGCATCATTATGGTTGACTTCTTAACAGCTTGAGAAAATCATCATCACACTCTGTAAGCAATATTTCCGCCTAGTTTTCAATTACATATTCAAGGATCCAGTCCTATTCAATATTGGAGCATAAGTCACATTATTTTAAATCCATTCCCTATCCATCAAATTCATGAAGTCCAGAGAATATTTTATTGGCCCCTACATGTGAGCACCAAGACCGACTGCCTTAAAGCAGAATCTTTGGGTAAGGTGTAACCCCCAAACAGCCATGCAGCTCATAAACAGAGTGAATCATGAGTTGTTTACTCCATAAACTAGAAGGTGTTGGTCTGCAGGCATCCCCATCACCCTTAACCCATCACCTCTCTCGCCTTCCCTCCAATCCCCTGAGGGCACCAAATCCTCGTCTTTAGTGTTACTTGAAGATGGGAGTCAAAACCAAAACACATCCTTCATCCACAATTGTTCTTTGCACTTCTTCCCTGACCCCTATACTTTGTTTTCCGCCCTTTCCCCCCTCAACAACTATCTCTCCCCATATCTACCCTAGAGACATCAAATCCTTGCTTTTTTCTTATTATTTGCAGAAGAGGGGAAAAAGCTGGTTTTGTTTATTATTCAACCTTTTCTGCTCCTCCCACTCCTATTCTCACCCCCAAAACTCTTTCTCGCTCTGCCCATGTTTATGAGAACATCAAATCCCTCTGTTTTCCTCGTATTCAGAGGGTCAAAGTTCTGAAAAAACTAAACAAATCTGAAAAAGCATCTTGTTTCATTTGGCCATTTGTACTCTCTCTTCCACCTTTTCCCAGAACAGCCCAAACATGTCTTCTATGCCTCTGAGTCTTCTTTTGGCGCATTTCCACCATGGCGCGGAGCGCGGTTTAAGCGTGCCGTGTCGTGCCGTGCCCGTTTTTGGTTGCGCTTCCACTAGGCCTAGTTACGGCCCGGCCCGGCCCGGGGCCACTTTTTCACCTCTTTTCTGGCCCGACAAAATTGTGGTTCTATCAGGGCCAACAAACAGGGCTGAGTCGGGCTGAGTATGCTAAACTAGAGAGAGGATTGCTGGCAAGGGGGCTACAACTACAACAAGATGGACATATTTGACCGTGATTTAATTGTAATACAAGTTTCAAAATGATGCCGAAGTAACAACATACTGATACCGGTTAGTAAAAACCATGAATTAATGCTTTGTCAAGTCTGCAGACAGACGGCAGGCGAAAAACCTTTTAAAATGCGTGTTTTCTAGATGGAGATTGGCTAAGCTAACGCAGTATATGCTCCGACCGTCCACACTCACAACAACGGCCTATACAGACATAAATAAAGCAGCGACTGTATTCGCCATGACACAGGCAGTCTGTGGTGTGTACTTGTTTAACTTTTGTCGAGTTTCTGAACATATATAAGGAGCTGTGAGCTCTGAGTGCTAACAGCTAACGGCTGTGTTGTTTTTCTGGGGTTCTCATTGAAGATGACGTCACGGCTCCGCCTACACTGCGTTACTATAGTAACTACCCCAGTACCTAAACTGTAATGGAAGCGCAGCATGAAGTGAGCCGGCCCTGTTAAGGCCCAACGCGGCCAAGCAGTACCGAGCGTGGCCGAGGCCGACCGTGTGGTGGAAATGCGCCATTAGTCACCCTTTCATTTATGTGCCTTCCCCTTAAAATGTTGAGGACTTTCATTAATACCCTACAAACAACAATAGAGAAAAGGGCAAGAAAGAAGAAAGAGGCTAGTACAAGTGGAACACTGCCTGAACGACAAAATACAATATACTTCCAAGGCAAAATACATCTCTGTAATGGCTGTTAAAAAATGAAAAAGGTCTAACATGAACGGCAGGGTCAAAAAGGAGGACAAAATCGTCATCACAATGTGTGTGATTCAGATCTCTAGACCTGACAGGGAAAATTGGATAGGTTGGAAATGTCACGTTGGTCTTGAATAGGACAATAAATATCCAAGAACCGCTTAGCAGTCGTCTCTGGCTGCAGTCGTACTGGGAAACTTCCAGCTGGGCATCTCCAAGCACTGTAGCTGTAAATAGTGCTCTATCACTTAGATATTACTGAAGGAATAATAAATGGTATATGTGGGGGAAACTTCTGAAGCAATGCAGACAGGACTCAGAGAGACACGAGGAGAGCTGGAGCTTTGATGGCAAACACTGATGGTTTATTTGGAGCTTCGGCCGGAGAATTCACAAGACATGTCACAGGGCCACGGTCTGACCACACGGATGAGATGCCACAATCAATTCTGAAGAACTCTACCCCAGACCCATGTATTTAGCTAGTTCTGAGAGAATAATCAACATTGTGCACAACAAGATAGAATCATAACACCTCTATCAGCTGACGCCAACAGGCAGGAACAGGGAGACAAAACACTGCAGCCAAGGCTACAGGTGCCTGTGCTCAGTTAGGAC